CTAGAGTCTCTTTAGCACTGTTAATGTATTGCCCAGACATGCTTCCGCTGCGATCAACCACAAACACAAATTCACATGCTGCTTGAAGACTCTCAAACTTTGGAAAGAAGTCTAGCATAACGACAGGACTGGATAGGAGGCTATTGCTCCCTCCACACGATTCCTCCACAGTAGCATGAGGAGTGTGTGGATCCTTTGATTGGATTAACAACACAAGATCCTTTACTAGATACTGATCCTTCAGATTAACGACCGTTGATCCTTCATTGATTGTAGTACTGATATTATGAGTAGGAGAGGTGACTGATGATACAGTGTCATTGTTTGACACTCTTAATGTAAACTGTGATATTGCTGGACCTGTTCCACTGCTACCACCAGTAGCAGGGATAGGAGCTAATGGGTCAGTAGAACCAGATGGTGTGTAACGAGGCTTCAAGACACTTGGTAATGAGAATCTAACCGACTCTCCTTCCAGTGGTAACTCTTCTACTAGCTTGAGTACTAATACTGCTTCTCCTTTAGGTGGTAGGTTACCAAGAGAGAGGCTGAATATGTCTTGTGTCTTCTCTTCACCGATTGCAGCAGTCATTCCAGATGCTACTGCATCATCATAATTAGCTCGTGCTTCTTCTTTCTCTTGTACCTAATATCAATTAATATATAAATTATAATGAAGGCAATCAAACCAGTAGTATGCGTAACTTTGTTCACAATAACAATGATGCTAATCTTCAGATTAAAGGCTGGTTCTCAATATGACGCATTCCTTTTCATGTGCTAGCATCATGACCGGAAGTGCCGTATAAACCAATGGGAGTATGCATCAATGTGTCAGAATAGAAATGTTTTTGAATCTGACGCATTGACACATGGTCCCATTTGTTTATACAGCACTTCCAGTCGTGATGCTAGCACATGAAAAGCAATGCATCATATTGAGAACCCGCCTTTAATCTAGCATTGTTGAAGTGTCAAATTTGCTTATGAGCTGGCAGCCTTTTATAATATGCTTTATGGGAGGTTGTTAGAATAACATAACCCAAGAAGTAGCTACGGTATCTTTGCTTACCACTCCACGTATTGTTCTTCCAGCAATCTTTGCTTCCAGACCAACTACAGCCACACCCTCATCCACAGGGAAACGAAAAGACACTTCCAGTGGATCATCAGAGCCGTTACGATAGGTAAGAGTGGCCTCCAAACTCGCTACATATCCTTTGATCTCTCCTGAGATTCCTACACTCTCCAATGGGACGCTGCTCTTCTTCACTCGACCTTGAACCAAAAGACCATAGTGATAGCAAGAGTGATACTCATAGTCAGAAGACATAATTGCAACTAGGGGTGTGACAGTGACTCTGCTTTTAGGGTGGGGTCGAATTCACAAGCAATTTCATTATCCCATAGATAATA